AAGATTTGTGAAGAGATGGAACTCTCTCTAATCCAGCTGTGAACTTTTGAGGTCGCCATGTTTTACCTTCTGTTCCAAGCTGATAACATTCAGGAGACATTCCTCAAGAGTCAGAAAAGCAAGCTTTGTGCCTGTCTCCATGATGACACAAGTGGCTTTTTACTTTTTCCCCCAAGGGGGTGAAAATGGCAAGCAATGAGAAGGACAGTTGCTGCTGGTGTGAGACGGATGTTGCACCCGCCTGACTGAAGAAAGACGGAAAGTCTTGCGTCTTGCGCGACTCTTTTCTCCAGGGGTGATGGATCGTGTGGGGCTTGATTTAGACTTACACAAAATGGCCCCCCAGACACTCCTCCCTCTTGAGAAGAGGACCTTTCACTCCATTTCACTCCAAATGACTCTCTGAAACAAGTGCCAGGTTGTTTTTCGAAGCCTTCGGTGAGTGACCCGTTGCCCGTGACTTGAAAATGGAAGCCTGGCTGGGAAAAGGTAGGCAAATGTTCTCCAGGAGGAGCGAAGCCTCTTCAGCTGAAGCTGGCCGCGTCTAGCGGCCCTTGTGGCTCAGCCCTGTGGCCCCTCTTCAGTGCCCTGAGCATGTGCAAAGTGGCTTGTCCTTTACACTGGGTACATGCAATTCATCCCTATGATCATTGGAGCTTGAGGAAGAAATTCTAAGGCATTCTAAGAAAGAGATGAGAAATACAGAACTGATTTGGAGATAGCCAAGACTTCTGGGTTTTGTTTGCTAGCTGAATTGGCAACAAAAATTGAATCTGACTTAGGAAAAAGGCTGGGCTTTGCATTGGTGTTTCCCATCCATTTGTCCCTCTGTTCTCTGGGCTGGATGGAAAGTTCCCTGAACCCCAAAGCACAATAAAATGTGCCTACGTTCAGATAAGGGAATAAAAGACCATAGTCCATTGGTGCTTGATCTGCAACCCTTCTTGCCCATCAAGATCTTGGATGATGGCAGAGATGGTGGTGTCTCCATCCTCCCTCGCTAGGTTTAGGCTTTCTCAAGTCCATCTCAACTCCTGATGGCTTCCCAGATACCGCCAAGGGTTATCTTGGGAACAACATGGAAGTCGTTTGTCAGTGCCTTCTTCCAGAATGGGCTTGGACTTGCCTGGTGGTCTCTATTCCTTGGTGGCCTTCCATCCAAACTCTAACCTAGCCACCTCTGCCCAACTTTATTTGCTGAGACCAGGGCAACTGGCGCTCGCTAATGACTTTCAAAAGGCCATTTCACAGGCAATTGAAATACTTGCTTATCCCTTTCAGCCCTTTGTAGTCAGTTTCCCAATTCCTGTACAAAACTCCCCAACATTAGTTTGCCTGCTTATGGAAGCGCTGCGCATCTTTCTTTAAGCATCCTAGAGCTGTAACTAGACTCTGGTACATATTGGACTCAGCAGTCCATCACAGAAACTGTGAAGATTAAAAAAAAAGCTTATAAAATGGAAATGAGATTTTTGAGGGAAAATAGCAGCAAGAGGACAGACAGGAGGGGTCACCTCTGTTGAGCAGGAGGCTGTTTTCACCCTGACAGGATTGTGCAGGAGATCCAACATTGGGCGGGAGAGCGAATATCCCAGGACAAAGAAATACAGCTCAAAACTCTCCTTGGCAGTGAGAGAAACAGGTTGAAAGTGACTGAATGAGGTTTAATTACGGCAAGCGCAAAGTTCTTCCAGTGGGGGAAGACATCAAATGCACAAAGAGAGGATGGGAGTAAGAGGAGTGCGGAAAAAGACCTTGGAAGCATACTTGATGGCCACCTGAACCTGAGCCAGCAGAGGAATGGGGTTGCAACCATCTTTACAGTCGCTCAACTGAGAGATCATTTCCAAATCACAGGGAGGAATCTTTCCGCTTTGTGGACCTTTGAAACCTTCTGAGGAGCTCGGCAGATGCCACGGCTTCTCCACCGCTTCTGGGATCCTCACAGCCAACAGACGGTGTTGCAACTTCACTTCCCCGTGTAGGGAACCCCGGCCGAGGGCGAGTGCTTTGATGGGCTGACATCAAAGGAGAAGCCTTCTATGGGTTCTCCCTTTGGCTTCTACTGATAATCTCCTTATTGCCAGACAATCAGTTGTTCCTCTAGTTCTTGAGCCGCTGAATGTCCAACCCAGCAGTAAGATAAGGAAAACCAGAAGCTTTGGACCTAGCTTTGCAATGAGCCTCCCTGCGGAGCAGTCATGATCTCGTTCTCTGTCCCCTTCCCCTTTCTCCAGGAGCACTGACTGGATTGACGCATGAGAACACTCCAAGTTCCAGGCATACTTCGAAACCCAGGGAATTAGAGCAGAGTCCAATCTGTTACAGTCTGTACTACTAACCCAGTGCCTGAGCCTGTCAGGATCTGGATGGGGAGACACGATCCCTCCACCCAAGCTTTCGGTCTGTGGGCCGAATGGTTCCAGAGGAGCCCCCCTTTGGCTTTGAACAACACGCACGTACACACCCTCAGAGGCCGTCTACAGTTTGGGGGTCCTTGGAGCTGTGAGTGCAGAAGCACTTTTGCACAGCTGCATCTTGTGCACCGATTGTGCAACGGGAAGCCCTGCTAACAGTCACTCGTACTGTGGTCACCTCCTGTTTGGATTATTGTAGGTGCTCCATGGGAGGCTGCCCTTGAAAAGCTTTGGGAAGCTACAGCTGGTCTAAAATGTGGTGCCCGGGTGGAGATGGCGTTTCCTGTTTGGTGATCCCACTGCTTTGGGAGCTTCACTGGTTTCCAGTTGGCTTCTGGGTCGATTCAAGGTGCTGGTTGTCACCTGTAAAGCCCTAAGTGGCTTTGGACTTGGTTATCTGAGGGGCCACTGTCTCCTGTCTTCATCCACCTGTCCGAACAGGTTGAACAGGTCAACTTCCTCAAGTCCCGTTTCTTTGCGAAGGCCATCTGGCAGGAAGTGGGCATTTTGGATCACCGCCTCCACGCTTTGGAACTTCCTCCTGGGTTTCAGGAGAGCAATTAAGATCTGCCTTTTCCACGTAGCCCGGAAGAAGCATGTTTTGAATGTTGGGAATCACATGGCTTTGTGTGTGTTGCTTTGTCTCTTTTGATGCCGTTGAGATGTTTTGTTATTCTTTTGGGGTGGGTTTATTTGTTGGCGAGGTTCTTTTATGACGCTTTTGATTGTTGGCCTCAGTTCGGTCTTGCGTTCTGTGATGGAATTACAGCCTTGATCTTCCAGGTCACCCCTGAGCTGGAGAGAGATGCATCAAGGCAGATACTGAGCATGCTTCCCTCATCATTTGAGAGAGACGAAATTATGCCCTGTAGTAACTATTTGTGGCTAGCTTATGGAATGGTTGAATTTCTGCCTGCACAATTATTCCAAAGTGTGGGATTTGGGGAGGAATCAGTCTGTCTTCCTCACACATGAGAAGCACCTCTCTCATGGGATTAGGGACCCTGCGCTTAGGATGTTAGCTTCTTCTCTTCATGGAGTTCCTCAGATGGACAGGTTGCAGCGCAGACTTTATTCATACATCACATTTATATAGCCACCCATCTCACACAGAGTGACTCTGGGCAGCTTTGACACATGTACTTTGTACACATGTAGTGGAAACTCTCCCTCCCTCCCTCCCTCCCTTATTTATTTATTTTTATTCATACATCACATTTATATAGCCGCCCTTCTCACACAGAGTGACTCTGGGCAGCTTTGTACATACATACTTTGTAGATAGGTAGTGGGAAATATTCCTCCCTCCCTCCTTCCTTCTCTCCCCTTTCCTTCCTTCCTTCCTTCCTTCCTTCCTTCCTTCCTTCCTTCCTTCCTTCCTT